TCCAAGAATTGTTTTGTTTTTTTTTTCTAAGAGATTTTAAACGGACAAGGGTAGTTATAAAATGAGAGCTGCAAAATTGACATTTAAACCCTTCTTCCAAACCTAAGAATTTTTTACTCATAGTTAGAAAAACAATTTATGCAAATCCTTCTAGAAGTTATTTTACTGTCCAAATCAGTGCTCTTTCTTGAATATAAGAAATAACCAGCTTATACATTTAGTAACCTTGAACAATATTAACTGTAAACGATGATTTTATTGAGTTTGTTTTTTTCTAAAACTACATATTACTGCCAACTTAACCAGAGTATTTCTTGTTTTTACCATGAACAGTTGTATATATCCTACAGACAGATGGCAACTTTCAACAGTAACATAGTTTTGCCTATCTTTCCTTGTCTATGATTCCCACAAGCCAGCTTATCTCCCAGAACTTTCTTTAAATTCTAACAAAGAAAATTTCCTTAAAACTGATGGTATAGAATAGTTCCTTGTTATTTTTTATAAATAACATTAAATTTCCCTGGTAGCACACTGTGCTATTATATACTATAAATCATATTTTATTTCGGAAAGAATGGTTGGTGCTGTTATTTTTAGGTCTAACTCTACTTCTGCTGATATCTAACCCAGCTAAGAAAATAGCTGTAGGAATATTTAAAATCTCACATATAGTTTTGGGATGACATCCATATTATGAATGTTATGGGAACAGCACTACTATATGAGGAAATAGATACACCACTGAATAAAGAGAATGTGCCCTGAACATATATGTAGGTGCACTTTTACATTCTAGAGAAATAAGAAGTTGGGTTTACTTTTTTTAAGTATTATTTCTGTGGCTTTTTTCAGACTAAGTAAATTGCCACAAATTGGATTTAGATGGCATTTCAACCTAGTTGCAGCCAGATCCACTGGAAAGTACAGTACCTGATACCAACATGGTTTCAAAGGTATGATACATTACACTGAAGCCTGTAACTTCTATTTTTTTGAAGATGAAGAGTATACTTTTCTTTTACAGAACTGTTATTACATAACCTAACGTTGAACGAAGAAATGGGAAATTTAACCTTAGAAAAATTGTCTATTTTCTTTGTTTCATGCTTTAAAACAGTCATAACTGAGCACTTAAAAATGGACCAGTAGATATCAGTAGAACAGATCAACAATTTTTACCAGGGTACCCAGTCATTTAGACAGTAAATAAGGGATATTTGATCAATGAACCAGCAATGTGACATCTGGTGTGCAGTTTCACAGTCTTAGGGCCTCACTCTGATCTCTCTGATAGCAGCATAAATCAGGAGTAAGTTACATAAATTAAAAGCACACACCAAAGTGGTGTGGGATCAGAATGAAGCACCTTGTGTTCCAATCTGTTTCGCTCAGTATCTATGCCTGACTTAAGAGACTGGCTCACTTACAGAGCTCTACATTAGACATATTGCCACCTTGTTTTAAAATATGTATGTTTAATATTTAATTTAACAGAATTCCAAGTTTCGGTCTCTGTGTATTGTGGAAGTCCCTCTGAGGCTTGTGGTTGGTGTGTGCAGTTTCAATTCTCCTCAAGTATAATTTGGAAGCACCATTGCCTAATGGGGTGAAAGGAACTATCCGTCTCCAGTTAAACTTGTTTCTCTTTTGAGTGAGTAATGAAAATATTGCCAAGCCAAAGGAGTTGAGCCAGGCTCACCAAAACCCATTTATTATGTGTGATAGTGGAATACTAGTAGAGGTACAGGTCTCATCAACTGCCCACACACTTCAAGTGTGCACTGCTAATTTAGACTACCATCTTCAAATGATTACACACTCAAAAATTTTACCAACTCTGAAATACTGGTTAGAATGCTACACATAACTGTTACTGTACATGAGAATGTGTAAGTATCATAAAATAGGTACTGTAGATGTAAATTGAGTCCGTGCTTATATTTTCACAGAAATATAAAAATTCTTTTCCATTACTTTATGCTGTGGAATATCGCATAATATATGCCAAGATGAGACACACATCAATAATATGCAAAAAACTAATTTCACAGTCTAAAAAAACTACTCACAGATTTTCAACTTATGATCTGCTGGGACAAACCATAGAAAGTCTGAAGTTACCTAAGGCCAACAATGGCAGAATGAAAATAGCAGTTTAAACGATACCTGGGTGACCATCACAGCTAGCTTGCAGGAGAGACTATTTTCAAGACCATTTGGCACAACTAGAATGTGGGACAGCTCTCTGAAGTAAAGAATATAAACATTAAAAGGTCAGAAATAGAATAGCTAAGTTATCCATTCACACTGGCAATGGGAATCTTTGCCATTTGGCTCTGAACCACTTTGCCATTCCGCATCCTAATGACTATTACATGTCCCACACTGATATTTCGCTTTCAATTTTCATAGAATTAGTGAAAGTATTTAAGGAGTTAATGGAGGCATGGTACTTTCTTTAGAGAAAATATGAAATTAGATTAGAAATTAGATTGCCTTGAAAACATTACATGAAGCAAAATGTGCACTGAGAAAGCCTTCAGGAGTAATCATCTAAGCATGGTTTCTTGTGACTTGAATTTTACTGTTCCACAACAAAAATAAAAACCCCCAAAGATCTGTGGCAAGGTTCTGTTGTCTCCAAGAGGCGCAGTTCAGAACTTCATAATCCAGGAGAAGGGAAATTGTTTCAAACCATTCTCCATCCCCACAATCACAACCTGCTGCAGGGAGCTGCGAAGTTCGCCTGGAATGAACCAGAGAGTATTGGCGGCTACAGGGCAGCTCCACAGACATGCTGCAGCCTTCCCCTAACATGTTTCCCTGCTTCAGCCCTGTGCCCAGCATGAGGACTTCGGAGTTTGTCCTCAGACAGCATCTTTAAGTTGCCTTTCACCATGTGCTACCAGGGGTATCGTCCCTTGGCCAGGAATAGAGCTTTTAAGGGCCTCTTTATGCCAATCTGATTCCTCTTATCTTATATAAGGGGACAGAGCAGGGACAGAGCTCGCTTTCTTAGCTCTAAATCTATCCTATATGGCACGCAATTCTCTAAAGTACAGCCAGCTTCTGCTTTGATGAAGCACTGTGCAGTGAAGACTGAAGGATCCTGTTTTTCACCATTTAAAGATGTATGATAGCAACAAAGCTCTATGTTAAAATATTTAACTCTCAGAGAACTTATGGAAATTGTCTATTCAAGCTCAGCAAAGACATTAAATTACCAAGCTGTTCTAGGACAGTTGTGTGTGGAGAAAAGCCAGAAATGCTCTGAGATTGTAATGTTACTTACAAAGATTATAGCATGAGCCTGATTCAGAAGCTTTTTATACGGATCAGCATGGCGAGCTGCAAAATGTTACCATATCAATTTCTGCAAAACATACTGTGTGTGTACATATAGATATAAAATCAGGACTTATACACAGCACATTTCCTGCCACATTTTGAATGGCATCTGTTTGTTTAGTTTGCTGAAATATGAAAAATAATATTTAGCAACTACTGGTAACACAATGTTAACAAGATTTAAGAGTATAGCTCTGTCTGTCAAAATGCAGATAGAAGGATTTGTCTTTTATCTCAGTGTTTTAATCAGTCAGATCAGGGTTTTGATGAATATGCAAATGTCACTGTTTATACACTATTTTCAGAGCGAAAGGAAACAAATTCAGTTTCATTATAGAATTAATGACAGTTCTGTCCTCTAAGATTAATAATTAAAACCCTACACACATTAAGATGATAGGGCTCTTTCTTCCCACCCTCTAAAGATTTTACTTTTCTGTTTTTTTAATACCCCTTTCCCTTACAATTGTTTGTTCCGCTAATTAGAATGATTAATAATTAATGCCAGTTCAGGGATATGGAATAGTCATCTTTAGAACAAGAACTGTACTTAAGTGACAAAAGGGTTAAAAACCACTTTCTTTTGTTAATTCTGGTTTCCACTCTTCTCCATAAGTTAATTTTTCCCTCCAAGGTCTATGCCCGGATAGGGATCTCAATGGCTTGCTCTAATGCTGGAAGCCTTTTATTTATTCCAGTGCAGGCTATACATTTCATTTCATTCTGATTTTCACAATATATGTTGGGATTCTTTTTAAAGTCCCAGCTGCTGGGATCAACAGCCTTCATAGGATTCGCAGCCTTCTTTTTCTGACACACACGCTACAAGTTTAGGTCAAACCAGATCTCAGAGAAAAGATTAAGAAATTGGGACAAGTGCACTATTAAGTCTGAGAATGTAAAAGTAAAGTTTAAAAAAAAAAAAAAAAAAAAAAAAAAAAAAAACCCAACAAGATTTCTGCTATAATTTTTTTAATTTGATGATTTTTGAATTGATATGGGAGTGGCTGACTCATGCTTTCCAACTCATCAGCACAGGCAGTATTTCAGAGGAAGGTTATAGCAAAGTGAGCCAAAGTTCAGCCTTACCATTTACCCTCCCTTCCTGCACCAGAATAACTATCACATTTCATTTTCATCTGGCTATTAGAATCTATACTGAGACAACTAAACCCTTTTTAATTTTGATCACCAAAGCATGCATTTTTAAGAGTAAATAAAATAGGTAGTTAGTGTATGTTTTGCATTACTTTCCCAGGAAAAGCTATATTCTAGCTCTGAAGATACACATTTCCTTCTGAACAGAAAAGCTCCTTCAGAAAGACAAATGGACAGAGTACTCTAAAAATCACATTTCTTCCACAAAGCTGTTTCAGTTTCATCTTTTAACATCTTTAGAGGTGAATTGCTCCTACATGGGAATTTAGCATTGCCTTGCATATCGCAAAGGAAATATTTTACATGAAATTAAATTAGCATTTGTCTATATTTCACCATGCAGGTACACTACCTCGTGTGTCATTGATAGCCGTAAAACAAATATGTGTGTGTGTGTACTTTAGCAGGGATGATGAATTATACTCTATAAGCATTTAAGGGCAGACATTCGTAATGAAGCCTGCTCGCTGGCAAGCATGCCTATTACTTACCACACTGAGTCCTAGCAATTCTCTGCAAAAGTAGTCCATGTTCCTCCTTTGTAAGTTGTCAAGATAGTGCTGAAGGCGAGTATAGGTGTAGGGGTAGCAGTAAGCAAATTGATAAGTGTCATCCTCTCGGTCAAAGCAAAAAGCAAATGACATGACATAGTTCTTCCTGTGGTCTGGGCAGCGATAGTAATACACGTTTTTAGAGGGTATTCTTTGCCTAAAAAGCAAAAACAACATATATATACATTGACATATTTATATACACATACAATGACGTAAGAAATGTGGACAAAAAGGCTATGTGAGATTCAAATTTCATTGGGAGCAAATGAAGTGTAACAGCTTGAGCAGCTCAGGAGGTGGTGAGCGGATCCCAGAGCGCTCATGCTGACACCAGGGGCCCGCGCATGGCACAGCTCCCTCCAGGTGCCCAAGCTGGCAGGGTCACCACAGCACGGTTGAGCACCGTACAACTGGAGAAACCCACTCCCACGAGGTGAAAAGGATGCACAGGCAGTTAGGCTATCCTCTGCTTCACTATAAGGCTGGCACAGTCTCACACCACTACACAGGCTTCACCTAAACCTCTGGCTGGAGTGTGGCTACATCCTTTGATACAGTTCTAATTCACCAGCACAGAGATGAGGCATAATTAATGAAGGAATGTCAGTATAAGGTAACATTGACAGAACTCTTACTGAAATTCAGGACATCATTGTATTGTTATTATCCTAAAGAGTCAAGGGATGTATCAACACCTAGCTGATGAATGGAGAAAAAAGTAAATTCTTGAAGTAAAAAAAACCCCAACAACCAAAACCCAAACAAAATACTTCAGGTACAGAAAATAAACTGGTCCTAAATTAGAAAGGAGAAAAGGGTATTTGGTCCTGTTCCAAATTGGATTGCTGCCCTCCTTGAGAGTTCTAGCTTATCTGACAAGATAAAAATGAATATACATGATGGTAAATAATTATAATAAAGGCATTTACGTCATTGTCATCAAGCTAGTATCTGTTTAAGGAATAACAAATGTCTGCCTGTCATCTTTCACCCATATTCAATTATTCTGCTATTTCTCAACAGAGATGAGAAATATTTCAGATATGGGTCAAAAACTTTTCTATGGACTAGAGATGTTCGATATATCTGTTTGTATCATTTCTTCATTTCATAGATGGATTTTCTAGCTTTATTTAGACAGAAGAGTCTCCAGTCATGCCATGCACTTGTAATTTGATGTTACTAACTTACCAGTCATGTTTGGCAACAAAACACTATGGTCCTGCAGACTCTAACTGATTCAATTACACAACATTATAAACAGGTCTCATCTAATGATTGGAGCAGATCTCAGCTAAAGTAGGATCATGGTGAGGGAAAACATAATAAGATTTACAGACATAGCATTAGTAATGTGCCTCTTTGTAATAGTTCCGAGAAGCTGGTCTACTGCAGAGCATCAGTTTTGGCCTTTCACTGTTAATATGAAATAGAGAACAAAACCCTCTCGTTATGCAGAAGTATGTGTTTGCCAATTAGCAGCAGTTAAGGAGTCTGATCAGCAAGACTCAGGATCTACAAAGAGAAACAGAAAGGAATTGAGATGTTCTTGAAAAAGTACAATAAAGAGCCAGTGATGCAGTTAATTAGACTTGAAATAAGAATTTATTTCCCCCCTTTATTGCCCTGGTTCCTGAACATCCAGGGCTTCAAGAATTTATTTCGGCATTTTTGATTAAATAAGACACTTGCTTATCACTAAGATCTGAAAATTATTTTAAAGCCACAAATATGAAGGACAGAAAAACAATTATTTTAATTTTTTTTAGAAGTATCAGTAGGGGAAAAATGCCACCAGACTTCTGCATGCAGTACCCTAACCTAATAGGTTTTTCCACTATCTTAACATATTTCTATCATTCGCCCTTACTCTGGAGTGCTATAGGACATCCCTCATTTGGTCTCAAATCAAGCAGATGATACGGCAGTGGGTAAATGTATTCTAGCTCCCAGTCCTCAAACCGTAAGGCAAGTTTAAACAGTATGTTGCTGAGTTGTTGAACTTTATTTGTTTCCAAATTAGCATGGGAGAAATAATAAAGGACAAGCCTTACTTTATGCTATGAAAATTTCATGTAAAGTGAGACCAATAGGAAATTCAGGATTTCAGAAAGGCTAATGCTAATTGAAATTCATCTGCTGATAGTTAATATTTAAATGACACATAGTTCTCCTTGGTTCAATAACTTTCTACTTTTAAGCAAGTTGAAGACAACTTTGTCAATGTATTAAAGGCACTTTTGATATTTCATTCCCTTTCCCCTTCATTATAGAAGCTAAGCATCTGTTTTATTATCCACTTTGACACATCATTTTATGGCTGCATTTGGCTATTATGGCTAATCTTGATGTCTAGGACATCTGGTATTGACATTTCACTATCTGGTGTCTGACACAACAGCAGAAACCATCCTCAGTTCCTAGGTTTAAATTCACCCTCTCAGGGCAGAAAGTGCCCAAACTCTTAATTCAAACCATATCTTGCAAAAATAATTATAATAGTACTCCTGTCACTGCTAATCTATTTTTATCTCTCCTAGCACTTTGTCACTGCTAATCTATTTGTGAGTCATATAGAGAAAGAGAGTTAGTGTTTAGATACCAACAACACATCTTTACACACAGGAGCCTAATCAGATTGAGATCTTATCATGGAATTAAAGAAAAAAGAAAAAAGGGAAAGAAAAAGAAAGAAAAAAGACACAGTACTAGATATCACCAACTGAGTTTTTGATAACGAAAAGACATTGCTCAGTTCTTGAATTAACCTTTGTGTCCTAGACGCACTATTGTTTACTCTTTCCCTTTTTTGTTCTATGCCTTCTGGAAAAGGACACCCACACACTGTGGCAGCAGCTGCTCCTATTAATTTAAAGCTATTACAAAAATTAAAATTAAACCCAATTACTTTGGCTGGTTTATAGCCGGGGAACGGCTTAGTCTGATTGTTCCCTCTGGTTATGGACAAAAACAATATTCCTACCTACAGGCAGCTGCCAGTGGAATACTAATGCATCTAGGGCCTGGCAGGGACAGATTCAGAATGCAGTCTAACTGCATTTCGTACTAGAGAAAAAAATATCTTATCACGGATCTGCAGAAATGCACCAACTTCTTACGCTATAAGCCACAATGAAGCTGGTTTGTAGTTAGAGGTAGGAAAGCAAAGTGATGGTAGAAAGCTTAATGCTCAAGATTTGTCATTTTGCATTTCCAGGCAGCTCACACGAAGAAATGCACCCTGCTAATTGATACACAACTGCCCGGATTCTGGTGCCACTGAACGGTTGTTTAAAGGAGAACCACCCCAATTCCAAGTGCAGCCACAGAGAATACCATGCAAGCAACTAATTTCCAGTCTGGTTTTAGAAACATATTTACAGAAATGAAGCTTGGTATTTTGCAAAATTCTGAAACAAATTTAGACTGCCTAGTCTTAAAAATAAATGCAAAATTCCTTCTGTCAGAGGAAGAAGGAAGCACAGAAGTGAAGATTTTCTCTCTATTTTGACTCCCATATTTTGTCTCTCTATTTTGACTGTCCAGTGCCAGGCAAAAGCTTGAGCCAGTGGATTTGAGCGTCTTCTCCTCCTATCTGACGACCCAGCAGATGTGTTACTCCAAGTGCGAATGCACATGTGCTTGTCTGTTCCTCTATGTTTGCTAAATTGCAGTCTGGAGTCAGGACATTTACTCTGTTTTGGTAGCATACAGTAAGATCAAATTTGTCAGTTTACCAAAGAAAAATTGAGCCCTCATTCAGTCTCAAAAACCTGATAACTTATAGAGACCCCGGGATTTTACTCTTTCCTGCTACAACAGACAGTGAGGGGTATAACAGCTCTGCAAATTTTATCCTAACTATACTTCTATTTTGAACATAATTTTCATTTCAAATCTATTAATTTTGATCTTAAAGGAAAATCTTATTATCTCTTCTGCTTTTTTTCTCTCTGCTACCTTATTTCCTTTTGAAAACTGGGAGTTAATCAAGATTTTGGGGAACAAATGCTTGGGGGTGGTGGGCCTGCTCCTCTGTGGCATCTGTTCTTCAAGTTTTAAACACAAATAATTAGAAAATAACAATCTTCAAGCATTTTTCCCCCTCTATTGCATGACCAAAGCGGGGAGCTTTTGCCCAGCCAAATTCTCAATGACTTTAATGAGCAACCTAAACAGTCTTTGGACAGCTTTTAAAATGGCACTCATGAAGTAATTATTCAGTTCCTTGCCTCCACAGGATTGGGTTAGACATATCACAGTCAGTAGACTTCAAAGTAAAATGATGATCTTTGGAGGAAAAACAAAAAGCTGCAGGTGCTGTAAAAGATCAATGGCCAAAAGAACAATTAAGTGATCTGACTTGTGGAAAAATACTCCAGTGAATCTGATTGCAACGTAGTGTTAGCTGTGGTGACACACTGTGGTGATCATTTTCAATTGCCATCAATTTGCAGAGGTAGAGATACAACTTAACAATTTTACAGATTTCCAAGATTGCATATATAATTCAAAGGGGTGGGCCTGAGTCACAACCCCAGAGGAAATTAAGCCTACTTTTTAAAGACATTTCAAGCACAAAACCTGATTCCGATTCTACTTCGGAAAATAACCTTCGGGTATTTATTGACGATACCCAAAATACTAGATCTAGCTAATCCTGAGTGTTCAAATTTTATTTTTAAAGCTGGATGTCCTTATTTATTAACTGCAAGAAATCCAACAAATGCTGAAGAAAACATAAGGATGTTAACCATGCACTGCAAACTTCTCTTCTGGGAGGCAGCCCATTCAAAATGAAGGTCTTCCTGACTTGTTTGTCTGTTAGTCTAAGCCATTATTTTTCTTCTTCCTTATTCTTGTTGACAAGTGGAGCTGACCATCTTCAAAATTCCTAGCTTACTTGTGACAAAATAAGTTTGTAGGGTTTTTTCTTGCACATAATTTTATATTTGATTCACAGAGCATGGAGTGACAGTGAATAAGTCAGATGGCGTTAAATATTTTTTACAGATAACTGAATGGGTTTTGGCACAGCTAACTCAGTTTGAGACACTAAAAAATAAGTCCTGCTTTTATTCTTCCTAATATTAGAATGTTCTCCAAATACTTTTATCATTTTTAGCAGTCTACTATATACCTCAAGGTTTTCCA